ACCAGTGGACCTACCCGAAGTAAACGGCGACAATGGGCCATGCTCATCAACGAATGGAGAGCAGTCACAAATGACTTCCATGGATGTTTGTTGAATATGATTTTGTGGAACCCCTTACAACTACCAACGCAAATTTTTCTCAGACCGAACCCCAGCTATTGCCGAGCAAGTTCACAGCGAACGACGATGCTCAGCAGCTCATCAACTTGTATCTTAATCTAGACTGGTAAGTTCCAAGATCGGATTTCTCTCAATTTCCTATTTTTTCAGGAAGCATCCATATGTTAGGTGGAGTAAAAAGTTTTGACCGGTTTTCCATGTTAATGTCAAAAACTCTTGTTTCATTCAAAACGGATCTCAATCAGTAAGGGATCTCATTTGTGGTCCACAACACATTTCCAACTATCCGGCATTCTTTCAATTCCTGAAGCCGAGAAGTATGGCGGCCGCGATTCCAAAAAGCTGGAAATCTCAAATTCGAGTTCCGAGCAATCAAAAAATTTTCACCAAGCGAAGATGATGTTCAAAGCAAGAAACAAATGGTAATCGGACGGAGCAAATTTTGGCAAATGAGGAAGATAGGGAAGCACTCTCAATCTGATTTCGGAAATTCTCTGACGAGTTTCGCTTCGCTGCATGCGGTCGAGCGCTGACGTGACAAAGCCAAGCATTGTCTTGCCGCGGACGCTTTCTCCGAATGACCACGGCCAAACTCTGTAGCTAAGAAGCGTAAATCTCTTCAGTAACGTTGGAACCCTCAAGAAATATTTCAAATTGGTCAATTTGATCCAATGTTGATTAATCATGGACAACTATGGTGAGAGTGAATCGAGAAAAAAGTTGGAGTCTATCCAAAGTAGAGCAGTTCAGTTCCTCTGAGAATCCCACCAACAACACAGCAAAACATTTCTAGGGTGTGTCCAGCTCTTGGCTGTCTTGAAGATGATTCGTCACGAAGCACCCGTGGGTTGAGATACGATGTATCCTCTAAATGCACCACAGATATTTGCGACAGTCGTGGATGGTCTATGTCCTTACAGATAGACATAGCTCCCATGCAACTCCGGACGGCTGAGTACAAGATCGCGAACAGTCAAATATAACCTATTACGAAATCCATCCTGGTGGCCTCCGAAAGAATCTAGAAAGGGATGAATTCTGGTCAAAGTTTTAAACTCAACTTAAGGTTATAATAAGGTGCCCTGTCGAACTGGGAACCAAATATCGAATGTTTGAACCACAGTGTTATACTCAAAAGTAATAAGTATAACTGGACTCAGCAATGTTGCTAAACGTCAGAATGGATACTCGCACTGGAGGTTCCGTTGCTATAGAACAATTTTTTCCTTTTCGGAAAGTGAAATTGGTTGCGTGTATAAAAAGAGAAGTGTTGTGACGGGCGCTCACTCTACGGGGTAGTACTAGACGATGACATGATGTTGTTGGGTGTGCGCCGCCGTGACTTTCGAGAAGAGCACAAGGGCACAGCTTTTTAACCACGCCCTCCTTGTGCGGTGCCTCTTGATGTTACCTGCGTCCCTGCTATCCGATTACAACGACCATCGTGACTGTGCGCTTGAATACGACCCTACGCTTTAACCATAACACTGCACTTAAAGATTAAGGGTGACAGAGTTTAGCGTTCACAATCATGTTATCGCTGATGTTAAATCTGTAAGATATGTTGTGCTCATAAAAAAGTAAAAAGGTTCGGAAAGAATGCTTCTCACTCGCATTCGGAATAAATATCATAGCGATGGACATCTCTTACTTCACAATAAACATAAATGAAACAAGTGGCTTTATGATTAGCAAAGCAAAACGATAAGCTCAACCAGAACCCAACCCTACGGGATGGTATTATACCTCACTCACTAGGGATGTCAATGCGTATTAACCTTCCTGCTCATGCGTAGTGGCGTTAGCCGGAGGCGTCCGACACGTCCAGTTACCACCCGCGGCGGAGCAGGACTCCCCACTCCATTCATCCAAACGACGATCGAAGTTTACCTTCCATGGGCTGCGCATCAAGGGCTGTCCCGGAAATCGACAGCTGCGCAGAGGGAGAAGGGGGTATCGTCGCCATCAAGAAGTAAACCTCACCCGTGGTTGCACGAGACAATCCTTGTCACTTGTTGGTCATTGATGGATGTTGCGCGTGATCCGTCCTCGTACAATATTGTAGAGTAGTTGGCACAAATGACTGAGGAGGGAACTGCGGACGACAATAACGCGTAGGGTTACCAAGGAAATATTGTAAGTGGAACCATACGCAGTTCATAGGCTCCAGCTGAGACGAGAGCAGTGGTCGTCGAGAACTGTCTGAGGCTGCCTCTTTTTTGGGCCATCTTCTCATGCCCGCTCAGCGAAAGGCTCCTGTGCATTTGCGCGGTAGGACTCAGTGCGGAACTCTGACGACCGTCCAATAAGCGTTGGAGTTGCTCTGCGCGTGTAATATAGTGTAACGACCGCAATAGGAGACGATGCGCAGTAGAGGTCGTACGAAAGTCACGACAAGAAGCAACAAAACACATTTTGTTGTAAGTTGGTCATGACAAATCGTCCTACAGGCTAGGTAGAAGTCAGTTACCAGTTTTATGAAAGCAATGCACACGATCGTCCGAAGAAAGGAGAAAGTAGGTGAAGATGGCATGGGTCATTTTTGCGAAAAAGAACCATAACTAGAAGGAAGAGACAGGAACAAAAAACAAAGCATTACAGATAGAAAAGAAGGATGAAAGTGTTCATGAATGAGATGATAGTTTTGTTTGGAAAAGTGGAAAACATTATCCTTTTTCATGTTTTGCGAAAGCACCTCACTGAATTCGAGCGATGTAAGCCGTGCTGATGAGGATATGCTTATTCATCGAATGCTCGATTCGACAGTGCCACAACTCATAGAGAAAACTTGTCCTCAATGTCCAAGGTTTACGGTGAGCTTCTTCAATTCGATTTGTTCATTCTTCAAGTCCTTTCCGACCCCTTCAACGGCCTTTTCGTTCCACCATTTTTACTAATAAATACCGAAAACCTTGACGTTTACGAAAACAGTACCAACAACGTTGTTTGAAAAAAGTATTCGATCTTCATTATAGAGAAATTGGAAACCAACGGAATTCGTGAATATTTACAACTTTCGCCGAAGTTGGGCTCGTGACGTCGTTCAACTGCTGGATTGGGCTAATCATTTCCCTATATTCAGAAAATTGTGCTATGAAGATCAGGTCATTTCTTTCCTTTTAAAGCACTTTGATACAGCCTCCTTTTATTTGGCATCAATAGCGTCGGAGATCAAGTGGAATACAATTATCCACATGAATGATTGAAAAAAAACAAAGAAACAGGTTTCTATCAGTTCTTTGGAAACCGCCGAATTTTTTCCTTCCACTACGAATTGCAGAAATTCGGATGGAACTTCATAGCTAGTGCGATCCTATATGTTCAATTCCTTGACTCTAACTGACCACAGGGCAGGGCATTGTTATCCGCAAAATTTAGATCTGCGTGCCTTCCCTGACCGGGACAACCTACGACTAGGGCATTGTCATTGCAAAATATAGGTCTCTAAGCCTTCCCCGATCAAAGCAAATGACTTGATAGATGTTGCATTGATAGGAGGATACATCCTTGCCGCCCTCCCTTTCAAAAAGAAGTGTTTAGTTATGTCTAAATGTCTAAAATGTCTAATAATGTCTAGAATCTGTGTCCGTTCTTTTACAGCAGAGTGAGTTTAGATATAGTTTCTTAATTGAGCTGACAAAAGATCATGGTATGCCGTCTACTCTGAGGATCGTAAACAAGTGTTCAGGGTAACTAACTCCGAATGAGTCTCTAAAATCTAGGAGACTGCTGGAGAGAAGTTACTTAAAATTAATGCATTGCTCGATTATGTTGCGAAAAGTGAATATTCGCTCATAGCACGATCTTTCGCAGCCCCCCTAATTTCGCAATTCGGCACTGCTTTCTCCAGCCTTTTGGGACTTTTTCGTTTCAGCAACGATTATACAATGCCTTGAGCCTCTTCAAGATCGTGCTGACAACTGCTTTCAACAATTTTGATGGGATTTCGTCTAGATAAAGAGCTTTTCTGTTCCGAATACACTGAACTGCTTCGGCTGTTGGGTGTCTACGAAGTGTTAAATAACGCCAATGTTGACATGTAGCGCATTTGTCGACTCCATCATATCAGAGCGGTAAGTTCTCTGTGTAGATCGGGGTGGTCGAGGATGTTTGAAAGGTATTAAATTTATTTTCACTCTGTCCATCTCCGCTTGAAAAAAATTCACCGTTACTGGCTTTGGTAGGTGTGTTACCGTTACTAGGGTTTACTATCGATTCGTTAACAATGCGGTTATTTTCGAGTGTCTATATTCAGCGACATGTTGATCTAATGCTCCTTTTTGCTCGAAACAAGGATTCTTGTTCTGAGAACAATTTTTTAACGAGGCGGTCTATTTCAGCATATCTTCTAGCCGCTTCTGTGAGCTTTTCTTCATTTGCGATTTAAGAGCGAAACCTCTGCCAGTGACCGGATCTTTCACATTTTCCACGGCGAATGACTTCGACCTCCTTCTTCTGCTTCTCCAGCTCAAATTTGTTGCCGCAATCACCAAGTGGAGGCCTGAATCTACATATGTCTGTGACTTGTGTCATTTGCTTGTCTTGAAGAGAGAATCTCAAATTACGGTTCAGCAGGTGTAGTCGGCCTCCCTCACTGTTTTTAGGGCGGCCACAAAATTTTCTTATGGCTCTGCTTGTGATGAAGGGACTTATTCCTGACACAATATATTGTGCCCACAAAACGAAGGAAGTCGTATTTCATTGTTCCTTTGATACTCAGAACAATCGAACTGCCGATTTACTCTCTCGAGTCCATTTCGATCATCATCCAGTTCCGTATCAAAGTCTCCAATGATTAGTTTCGGATCTTTCCTCGACTATAGCGTTTTGAAGTTGTCCATAGAAGTCATTCTTCATCTCTTCACTCCCATCCACTGTGGATGCACAGAGTTGGACAACAGCGATACGAATTCGCCGCATCATTGGTCGATGGTTATTCTATAGCTGCTCTACATGCAGCAAAGGCCTTTGCCACACTCTCACTCGAAACAACTGCAACTCCCCTTCAACGTATTCCTTCCGGACCGAACAATTTCTCAACATCGCTCCTTATACGGTCTCTTCCATCTCATTGAAATTCGTTAATCCCGAGCATACATGCGGTGATTGTCGAACTCTTGGAGTATTTGTGCAAGAATTTCGGGCTGATGCATTGTGTACGCACTACATGCTTTAACAGAAGTCTTGTTTTTGGATGAGGAAACCGAACTCTGTATCTGTCCTAAGACTGACTTAGGCTTTCACAATTCAGCAAGTTTGAATGTGCATTTTTACGGTGGTCGGCTTGCTAACCCTTTGTTTGCACCAACCCACCTCTTTTTTCCTACGGGTTTGAGATCTANGTTAATCCCGAGCATACATGCGGTGATTGTCGAACTCTTGGAGTATTTGTGCAAGAATTTCGAGCTGATGCATTGTGTGCGCATTTCATGCTTTAACAGAAGTCTCGTTTTTGGATGAGGAAACCGAACTCTGTATCTGTCCTAAGACTGACTCA